TAGTAGCCTGTAAAAAGGTGTTTCTGGTTCTTGATGATATTGGTAGTCTCGACCAATTAGATGCATTACTTGGAAGAAAAGGTTTTCATCCGGGAAGCAAAATAATAATAACAACAAAGGATACATGGTTGACCAAGAGTTGTGCACTGTTCAAAATGAATGTGAAACCCAAACATGAAACGCACAAGATTAAGGGCTTATCTGAGATTGATTCACATAAAATTTTGTGTTTTCACGCATTTATGTGCAACGATCCCAAGGCAGGTTATGAAGAGGTGTCAAAAAAGCTAGTGGAGTATTGTGAGGGACATCCAATGGCGCTTAAAGTTTTGGCTAGGTCTCTACATAATCGAGATGTAACTTATTGGGAGGGGTATATAGATAGACTAAAGAAAGAGAATAATTCCCCTATAAATAATGTCTTAAGAATGAGCTTTGACTCTTTGCCATCAGAAAATGATAAGGAGTTGTTTAAGCACATTGCTTGTATTTTTGTTGGAATGGATAAAGATTTTACTGTAACAATATTAGAGGCATGTGATATAGAGATAAGATCCGGGATCACAAATCTTATTGACAGATGCCTTCTTAGTTTCAAATGGAATAAAGAATCGAAGAATATCGAATTGGTGATGCACCAGTTGGTTCAAGAGATGGGAAAATTTGTGGTACGTAAAGAATCACTTGACAAGCCATGGGAACGAAGTCGATTATGGGGTTATGAATCTTTTAAAGCATTGAAGCAAAAAAAGGTAAGATGTGTATTCTTGCTTAAAGCATCTCCTATTTTTACATACATGTGGATGCATTTCCTATTCTTGCTTGAAGCATTTTAAAATGTTTTTACATCCCCTTTCTTTTTAGGGTACAGAAAATGTGCTAGGCCTCACCATTGACATGCAAATGCTTGAGAAAGAGAAATTACATGGATCACTTGAGTTAAAAACAGATGCATTGAGTAAAATGGATAGGCTAATGCTGCTACAACTCAATTATGTGCAAATCACCGGCTCTTACAATGAATTTCCAGAAGAATTAAGATGGTTGTGTATGCATGGGTTCCCTTTGAAGTCTATACCTCCAGACTTACCGATGGAGAATCTGGTTGCTCTTGACCTGTCTTATAGCAATATTGAATCATTTGGGATTTGCTATAACTATCCAAAAGGACTTCCTAAGAGACTAAAGGTAACTTTTCTCCATTTATTACTCTTCTACGTGAGTTGATAAAATTCACTACCATTCTAACTCATATTATTCTCAGCAATTGACTGGATCATGCTCAGAAGAAAAAAGGTCGCTTCGATCGTTGAAGATTCTTAATTTAAGTTTCTGTGAACAACTTCATAGTCTTGGTGGCTTTGACCACCTCCCTAAACTTGAGAGGTTGATACTTAGAGGTTGCATTGGTTTGCTTGAGGTTTGTGAATCAATTAAGCAATGTGTTGAACTTTTCTTCATCGATATGAGTTGCATCAAGCTTGAAAAACTTTCAAGAATTATATGCATGTTAAAGAAAGTTGAAATACTATTGTTAAACGGCTGTTATCTCGGTGAATCTCGAATCAAGATTAGGGATATGGATTCAATGGAAAAGATCAAGGCTAACAACATTGGCAGAAACACAAGAACGTCGTCATCCGCTGTTCTGAAGGCTATATCAGCTGATTTGAAGTTCTTAACGATTCCTTTACCGAGATCTTTAGTAAAGTTGTCACTTGCAAATAATAATTTATCTACCGAATCCTTTCCCATGGACTTCGGTTGGCTATTCATGTTAAATGAATTACATTTAGATGGAAATCCTATCGTTTCCCTGCCTAATTGTATTAGGAGCCTTCCTAGGCTTGGGATACTGAGTATGAGAAATTGTAATATGTTGATGTCAGTCGAGGATCCTCCACATACACTAAGAGTTTTGGACCTCCATTTTGATTCTGAAAAACATTTGCTACGAAAAGTGGTATTTGATCCACAAATGTCTCCACTAGGGTTCATATTAGACTGGAACATGTTAGCAACTTCGTCGTTTGAATTTCAAGGCTTGATCAAAATCCAACCAATGGAAGGTGTTGAGGAAAAGGTAATACGTAGTTTGGGCTGGACGAAGCTAGATTTCCTTATTGGAAGGCGTGTGGGAACCTATCTTGTGAATCAAAGAGAGAAATCTGAAATCCAGGTTTGGTCTAGTTAACTATCTGTCTTTGTGTTAATATCTATGTATATTTAATTAATGAAGTTGGTTGTATTTGGCAGATGTATTATGAGTTTGGAATATTCAGCACAATTTATGAAGGTGAAAAAATGCCAAATTGGATTTCAGATAGAAGCACGGGGTCATCAATGTCATTTACCATCCCATCATCTCCGAACAAGCTTAGAGGATTGAATTTCTGCTATGTGCTGACATCTCAATATCTGGGTTATAAAACTTTTAATTTGCCGGTGATCATAATTAGTAATATTACAAAGAACCACACCTGGAAATACAAACATTACATTCTCAATGTCGATGTTGTTGGAAAGTGTTTGACCTTGTTAAGCCATTGGATGTTTGGGGTGAATGATATGGAATGTGGTGATCAAATTACTATTACCATGAGACCAGAACCATTTCATGTTGAGTGTGGGGTGAGTTTTGTTTATGATGATGGAACAGAAGATGCATTGAGTTATTACAAGTCCTGGAATCACATTATTGGTGGAGATTTGACCATATTTCAGTTAACAACAGGAGAGTACATCCTAACCATATGGCGATTTCTGCTGTTTGAAAATCAAATACGTGAACATTCATATGGGTCTTTGTTTGGAGATGGTGTCCACTTTAAAGGTAGATAACTAGATATCTTTCTTATGTATTACTTCTTATGTAGAGCTGATAATAACTAAAATGATAAAGCTTTGATGATTAGTAAATTCATATTTGAATTTTCGTTAATCAATCTCACATCTTTAATCTATCTCTTTTCATTAGATGACCAAATACAAGTACACTTCAGAGCTCTCTCCCAATGGAAGCCTGGCCTACTTGAGGATGGCCCCTAAGGTATTTGTATATCCCAAAAAACAACTGTCACAAGCTTATTTTAGGTTCGTTTTTATGTTTTCTAATGGCAGTGAAGGTGCTTTTTGTTTTACTGTTTTGTTGTCCCAAAGAGTTGAATTTTCCAAACATTCATGTTCAAAAATATATTGTTTGTATGTATTTAACTCCTCCGTGGCTCCACAAAAAAGGAAACTGTATTGCACAACACAGTTGATCACATGACACATTTTTTTGGGTTAATAAACTGATCTTATTCTCAAAATTTACTAATATATATTTATGTCTTTACACACAAAGAGCAAGTTTAATTTGTACCTTTTGTATAAGTTATCATGCAAAACAACATACGAATGCCCCCTAAATGCAGGTTCAAAACTTAGTATATGCTCGACATGCCTTAAATTTTGATGAAAACTTTAAAAGATACAAAGAAAAAATGGATTTGAGAGCTAATCAAAATAACTGGAGAGCTGAATGTTGACCTTTATGTTGGTATAGTAGTCAACATTCTTGAAGAAAAATAAATAAATAAACAAAAGGATGTCTTTTAATATACCCAACATATTGTAAATTTTGCATGTTATAATGCTTTAATAAGAAAAAGACTGAAAATACAATGTTGTAATAGAACTAAATGATAGTAGATTATTGCAAAATACACAAATAATTAATGAAAGTATGGTGCTAATTCTTGCATGTAGCCCTTAGCCAGTTGAATATTAAAACCTTTTCCTTTTGGTGAGTACTAACTACATACCATATGTGTTAAGGATATAATATAGAAGACTTAGGTCACCATGTATTTGTCCCCTGAACCTGTCACTTTAAGGAAGAAAATTATAATTTCACTTACCATATATGTAACCACTGAATGCAAGAAATAGCAAGGTGCATTAGTTTGTCTTACTGTTTTTATTAAGACAATGTACTTTAGAAATTTTACCAAATTATATCATTGTATTTTCAATCTCTTTCTTATAACATCATACTTTGAAAATTCTATCCTTTCATAACACTGAGAATTGCTTTGTATTTGGATAACATTGCTATAATTTGGTTATTTTTCAAATTACAATGCTATAATACAAAGAAATGAAAGTAGAATTCTATGACAAACAAATCAGTAAGTACGTTCCTATTTCTTGCATTTAACTGTATATTTTACTTCTCGATGTTGCAGATAAGATGGGGAAAAAGTTGTAATGGTTTATATAGCTTTTTTTACATGCTCCGTTCATCAAAACTTCACATTCACTTTGGATGACATTGCTATGCAATGTATTTGTTAGAATGTAGATATTGTACTTATTAGGTTTGTCCCTAACATGGGCCCCTGTAGGGTACTAGGGTTTCCTATGATCCGGGTTCATGCCTTTATATATAGTCTTTACAGTATTGTACGTACCAATTATAGCAATGAAATGTGTTTTGTAAGTTGGATGACATTGCTATAAATGAATTGATTTTTCAAAGTACAATGTTGCTGGAAGAAATGAAAGTAGAATGTTGTACTGAACAAGTCAATGAAATAATGTGTATTTTTTGCAATACAAACCAAACTGACACTACTAGAAAAAGGTTAATAGAGTACGGTTGAAATTGTGAATATAATACGTACATAGAGGGCGTATTAGTAGAGGGGTGTATTAGATTACATGCATAATAGAGTACGGCTATTTGACCGTATTATATTATCCTATCTATTTTACACATACAATCATCTAATACGCCATATATACACATCTAATACACCAATAAACAACCGTACTTGATGCCTCACATCCCCTTTGCATTCCAGAGCCTTATTAAAACAGACAATTCCATTCCAATTCCACTCCAGCCTTATTAAACAGTCAATTCCAGTCCATGGATGCTCTGGAACACATGGATCACCATTCCAACTGAAACAAACTTTTCAATTTCTGCAAAGCTACTATATGATTACCATGGATCAATCTCTACAAAATACAAACCTATTATATGATTCCATTCCAGCCATAAGAAGTGGGACATCACTGATCATGTTTTCATTTTCAGAAATAGAAAAAAAAATTACAATGAACTTAGTTCATTGAACAGAAAAAAATTTGTTAATGTCACATCTCTAACCTCTCTTTCCCCTTTGTCACCTCTAACCTCTCTTTCCCCTTTGTGGTTGATTCATTGTATGCCTACAAAAATTAACAAGAAAACTTAGGATTCAAAATCTCAAATAACTTTTAATGAAGAAAACTCAAACTATAAGACCTTGGCCGTTAACAACTTCATCTATAGCAATGCAAGGATGAAAACTTCTCCAGAACATAAAAAATATGAGCAAATACAACATGAAATACAATTTATGTACCTTATGAAATACAATTTATGTACCTTACAAAAAGGCTTCACTTCATCACCAAAAGTTCTCATCCATGTTTTAACACGTTCCTCCAATTCCTCACTAGAAAATGGTTTTTTGTCCTTCCAAATGTTCTACAAACAAATTAAGATAAAAAATTTGTTATTTAACAAAGGTGAGCCTTTTTTACAATAAACAAAAATGAAAAAAAAAATATATCTAACAATATACTTACTTTCGAAAATCCATGTTGTCGAAAAAGTACAAACTCATGCATCCAGTTCATAACGTAGTAACCACACTCCCAATCGGACAATTGTTGATTACACTAAAACAATTATATATGTATGAGAGTTTTCTTTTCGGATATATATATATATATATATATATATATATATATATATATATATATTAGGTAATAAGATTAATTACCTTGGGGAAAATCCAAGTCATTGGACACAAACGTGATTTGTTGGTTTTTGTTTTTTTAAACCTTGTAACAGCCCTAAAACAAAAATAAACAACAATGATTTGTTAAAATTTATAAAAAGATATATCATTTCGAATACTAAAATAATAAATTTCTTATTTATTCACATGTTCAACTATTGTGTAGTCTTTCAATGTCTTTGTCCCTCTGGCAGAATCCAAAATGTAGCTTTTATATTGATGAGGACAAATCACTATCAACATCCAATGTCTCCTAATAAAGATTAAACAAATTAAACATAAACAACTTTTGATTAAAAATATCATAACAGTAAAGACATTTAGAATATCCTACCTTTCCCAATATGGTGCAAGAAAAAATTGTTTTTCCTCATGAAAATTCATCACATCAACAAGATCATTGATGACATGATCTGTTTCACCCCTATCATCACATTCACATCTCGTAGACATGATACATTGTGGGTTTATAAAACCACATTTGTTATCCATTCTTGATACAAGCATGAGTGAATGTAGCATATGGAAAACACAATATATATTATAATGGTAAAATAATATGAAACATTAATACTGTAAATGTTAAAGTACTTACATTTGATACCAGAGAATACAACTAATATCAAGTTGTTCTTTTTTCAACATCTCCATAATGGCCACTGAGCTAATCACTGTTTCAACACTCGCAGTGTTGAAGATCCCGGGTTCAGACACAATAGGAAACGACTCCGGAATGTTGTGGCTCTTAAACAGTTTCTTTGGCATCATGTGTTCTTGCATCGTTTTGTATAACTTTTCCTTTTGTACCTACATTAAGAAACCAAATGATTATCATGAAAATTATATTGCTATGAAAATAATAACAATGAGAGAGAGAGATAGAGAGTGAGAGAGACGTAGGTTTGTGCCATATACCCTATTTTCTGCTTCATCCCCCATCATCTCTTTAGATGCTTCCAGTTTCCTTCTTTTCTTTCTAGGAAGATTTTTCTGCCACCAAAAAATAGTAAAAAATACAGTATATTTTTGTGGGCTAAATGCTAAAAATAGCATCCAACTTTCATATATTTTCATTGTAACTTTTTATCTTATTAAGGCATGTTAATATATAATATCTTTCAAAGAAATCAAAAGAAGAAAATTATGCACCTCATACTCTTGCTTTTTCTTTGCTTTCTTCTTATGCTCTTTAGCTTCTTCAACATTCACGTTTTCTTTCTCTTTTTCCTGAAGTCCAAATTAAAAGATTATATTTTAATATATGTAGTTTTTTTATGGGAAATTAACTATAAATGAAAACAATACCTTTCCAAAATTGTAAGTTAGAGTGACTACCTGGTCATGAAGAATAGGAGCAGCTTGGGTCAACATTGGTAATGGTTCAATGAGAGGTCTTTTATCTTTTTGCATAATTGAAATCGAGTTTAGTAAATAATTCAATGCTTTATGTACTCTTGATTCATATATTAACTCAAATAATGTTTGTTAATATGTATACCTTTCTTCAAGATATTTCGTTTTGGGTTTATCAACACTTCTTTTTCTGGTTTTTCTTTCTACCATACAGATCCTCTTGCTCTTGGTTGTTTGCACTAGTACCTCATCCATATGTGATGGTAAATTTCCATTGTATAACCTCAGACCTGTTGATAAGAAAATGATCATAGAAAATAATGAGGGTAAAGATATGTTAAAGATTATGACTTAATCTAACTAATGAGAAGATGATGAAATAATAATCGATACCCCACAGCTAAAGGCACTTGAAGTGAAATTGAATCAGTCACATATGCAAAACTTGCTACACAATTATCTTTAGAACACACACACACATACATTTGAAACATGATACATTTAAAGATGCCACATGGGTTTAGAGCCAATTGGGTGTTATCTTACTTGAAGTTTGTTGTGATGATGAAGTATCAGAAACCTTAGCTAATGAGCGATATTGAACTTTATAATAACACGATCAGCAACAAAAAATGGGAATTGAAGACCTTTGCCTCGTGGTGTCTCCATGAACATTGAATCACCATAATTAACCCTGTCCTAAATCCATACAATACAGGTTGCTACTATTATGTCTGAAACTAAATTACCAAATTACCTCTTTAACATGGAGTTCCACAAAGAAAAATGGACAAACTTGATCTGATCTCTCTCTTCTTCTTTTAGATGAATGGTGAACTTGTGATTCTTCTTCCCTACGAAATGCTGATACTGTAGCTCTCACAGCTATAAGCATATATCTTGGTCAACATTTGATGAAAAATCTTGCTTTTCTAAATATTGGTTGCTATATAATTAAGCAATAAATGTGAACTTTAACAAAATTATAATGTGAAATCGAATAGTTATAGAGGAGGATGTGTGATCATTGAGTGGTTTTGAAATATTCTTAATATGAAATCTGCACTTAATGGATGCCTGATTATAGGAGCATTAGATGGGGCTAATGTTGAAATCAGAAAGGAAGTTGGAGAGGACATTTTTTTCTTTTTGGAGCAACAGCAGATGAAGTTCAAAACAGAGTCGATGATGCTTTCTAGGGTTATCAACCAGAAATATGAAGTAATATTTCGTACACAGAGAAGACATTGTCATAAATACAACATTAATCAACGAATAAATCCATTACACCCAAAGTCCGAGCGTACTTGTAAACAACGTGAAAGAAGGAGGTAGAAGCGGCTGTAGGCCGGAGTAGGAGACTTCGTCAGTCTCGTCGACTGGAGACCGAAGGTGGAGGCGTCGTCAACCGGAGGCGGAGGCGTCGTTGGCCAGAGGCGGAGGCGTCGTCGACCGAAGGCTAAGGTTTCGTATAAACAACTCTAAGTAATAGAGCGAAAATGGCGATGAATTTGTTTGGTCATATGTCGGAAGCGTCTCAAAGGGAGAAAGCGTCTCAAAAATGAATTATGTTGCGGGGCTTAATCAAATGAACTTATTTAATTTTTTATTTCAAGTATTTTTACTCATAAAAATATCCTATTGAATTTAATTGCCTCATGGTATATTCTTCCCTTGTACTCGATATGGAATAAAAGTTCATTAATTGTATTTAAAAATAATCTATAGAGTACAGTGTAAAATATAAACTACAAAAGATTCATCCTTTTTACAATAATAATCTAAAATTTCTTATTCTAATTAAATTGGAAAAGTTATTTTGTTTATGACCTTTGGTTATAACAAGCTTTCATTATGTTTAATACAGAAAATAAAACAAAAAATTTTAAAGAAAAATCATTTGAATGTAATCTATTCATTCCATTTGACCATTTTTATGGTCCAAACTTTGCATGTAATCTATTGAAACTTGAACCTCATCTGCTTATTGGTTTTTGATGTTTGGTAATTTTTTAAAATAAACCGATAACAAACCTAAAATAATAAAAAATAAAAATAAAAAAGTCACTTGTGTTACCCCACAATTCTTCTTACAAAAAAGGATGAAAATACAGAAAATAAAAACGATAAAATACAGAAAATAGTCAAGTGGCTGAATCAATAAACTGAACAAGAACTGCTTCAATTATTATTATTAAAAATTGAGGGGTAATATTGACCTTTTGGCACAGTTAGTCTACAAAACTGCAGCTTTCTGAAGGATGAGGGCAAAATGGGAATTTGATTATTGCTTGAACTGGTTGCCCAAACCTTGGGTCATTCCTAAGCTCTGTCCAAGATCGCCCGTTTGTGCTTTCATGGCCTATAAAGGGGCAAAATGGTCAAATTAAAAATATATTACCCCAAGGGTAAAATTGTACTTTTATATCATCATACAAACCTGTACACTTTTTTGATGCACATCTCTATATGCTTCTGTTATGTACCTCTCTTTTCTTTTCTATGACAAGAATGGAATCAGTCATTCCATTCCCCTATCAATTCCATTCCTTTGAGAATAATGGTTTTATATCATCATACAAACCTGTACACTTGATTCAGTAATTGTAGTTTTTCCACTTAATCTGTCTTTAAGGAGTGTCTTCAGTTGTTTGAGTGCAAATTCTGTGATTGGTTTTGCTTCTCTTGCTCCTTGGTAGTCAACAGCAGGTTTTCCAGGGACAAATACTTTAATAGTTGAAAACAGGACCAAAGTTGTAGCAGCAAGGATAAAGGCATTAAAGTTGGATTTCTAACTAAAGAGGAAGTTGATCATGTTTATGTATTAGTCGTACTTAATCAAAATGGGGGCGTATGTTTTTAGTTATTTGATTTTGTTTCTAGTACATCTCATTGACCGTATTAGATGCTGCAATTAACCGTATTAGATGCTGCAATTGTGTGTATTATATTTATTTATCCCTTTATAATACGGGTTTTTTTACAACCGTATTAGATGGGGGTGTACTCTATTACCAATTTTCCAGTAGTGTGAATAGCTTGCATATGAATTTTGTTTCATTTTTGTGGTTTCTCTTCTCTAATTTACATCTATCTGAAATTTTTAGATGGGTTCAGTTAAATCAAACTGCTTCAAGACCTTTTGTTCATATGAGAGAAAGGCCCACCAATAGCATCAGCCCCCCATATTGGGTTCTCAGTTATATATCACGTATGTGTATAAGTATTTTTATTTCTGTTTATTAATGTAGATTAGTTATATCTTTAGTTTACAAACTAATATTAGTCTTCAAGTTGGTGTTTGTCATCAGCCAAATCTAAGTGCTTTTCACTACAATCTCAGGTGAATGTCAACTCAATTCTCAAGGTGGAAAACCTGGACCTTATGAAATCACTCTTTATCGAGTATTCATATACCCCATGTGTTTTTTAATTTTGTGTTGACTAAATTTTGCTCCCATCAACTTAGTTGAAATAAAAAAGGTTTAAATGTAAGAGATAGCAACCTACTTAATTTTTTTTTTTTTTTTTGTTTATTATAGGAGCCTACTTGCATAATTTACTATAACAACATTCTGCTTGGAATAATCTGACCTAATTATAGCAATGTCAAATATCCAAATACAAATCAATTTTTGCGAGTAGATTTTTCAAAGAACTATGTATTAATAAGAATAAAAAATTAAAAATATTATGCTATAATTCTGTTTAAAGCGTTGGCTAATGGAAACATTTTTCTCTTTTGTGTTGCAGCCCAAGAAAAGCCCTCGTACATTAACTAGATTAAATAGGACAAAAATTGAACTTTCTTGTTCCATCAGAAAAAGGATTCGTTCTGGATTTCATGCATGTGTAAAAGACGTGATAGCCCTTCTCATCCTGATAATTAAAAATGAATGATAAGGATTAGGCAGAATGTGGGATAAACATCCAACATCAATGCCTATTTCTTTTCAGAACATTGGTTATGTGATGTTTCCTTTTTCCTTTTTATGGTTTAATCCGGATGGTTTTGATTTTAAACAAGTTAGATCACATTGTTTATGTTTCTTGTCTTTTTATCGAATTTGATTTCATTTTCTTGATCGGCTGACGGACATAATTCTGTGTTAAAAACTAAGGGCCTAGTTTTTTAAAATTTCCCCTTGATTTGTACTTCTTAAAATTACAACAATGTTGTAGGATATTTTATAATGATTTGATGATTCCCTGGCATATTTTTTTGGCCCCATTTGTTAGTAGTACATTCAAAATTCAAACAAAAATTGTAATCTTTTGTCTAACCTAAAAAGGTGTGGCACAAACTTGTTCATGATCTCTCGTATGTGCAAAAAACATGAATTTTTATGTTCCATCTGTGCTCCTATCTTGTGGCTTAAGATACTTCATTTTTTGTCAAGTAAAATCAAGAATGGGGATACCTCACATTAATTTTGTTATAGTACCCACAAGGGTTAAAGTGAGAGTGGCATTTCTTCAACCCTTCTATAACTTAATTAGGGGGAATACATGTATTTTGTTTCCATGTTTCTAGTTGTTTTATTTCGAGTATATGACTATAACTCAAGAAAGTCAACAGCTTGTCAACTCCTTAACCATGACAGCGTGGTAGTTCTTTCATCACCTCGACAAGCATATCTATCTTGCTCTCCCCTTTTCATGCCTCGACACCTAATTCTCAAGCTCACAAATATTCACCGGTCAACCACAACCAATCATTAAAATTCAACGAAAACAAAGTAATCTTTTGAGTGGATGAGTGGTGAACAAGGGGGATACACACTTCAAAGGAGTTGTACCATATATGATTCAAGCAACTTCAGCTCTTGGGTTGCAATGCACACCTTTGGGGATGTTTGGCAACGTCAATTTGGTTTGTGAGGTATTGTGTGGGTCTAGGGTTCTGATCAACAAAGTTCCTTTTTAAGAATTACCACTGGCAAATAAAATATGGAGTAAATTACTTGTCATTCGTTGGTAAACATTTTTATAGGTGTCCTATTTAAATTAAAAAAAAAAAAAAAAATACTTGTATATAATATTGATAGAATATTTTTTCTGATATTATTAGCTACAATATATATATATATTTTTTTAAAACACAAATTTAAATGGATAGAAAAATATGAAGTAAATTACAAATTTGGTCCATGTGCAGGTTGATCAAAGTTTTGGTTTCTTTTTTTTCTTGGTTTTTTGTTTTATTTTGATTTTTTTTTCTTAAAGCATATCCATGGCTTATTGTTTTCTCATTGTTGTGATTCAGATGCTCTATGGAACATTAGTCTAACCATAAAGTATTAGATTTTCATAAGACAAAATTGCAAGAATGGTCTTGTGTTTAGGTGAAAATTGTTACTTTTGTCCAAATAGGTTTAGACTAGCACATGATGTCCAAATGTTTCATTTTGCTGCGAATTTGGTCCAATGTCTTAACGTCCGTAAGTTTTACCCCTTTAACCTAGCTTTGACATGTCAAAGTGAGGTATTTTGGTCATTCCCTATTTTACTCCCTTTATTTAATTGATAAAACCCTCCTATAAGATCGATGCTACTCTAGCTTTTATCCTTTCGTTCACGTCTTCTTAGTAGCCCTAATTCACCCACCATTCACACTTTGCTCTCAAGAAAGTGACAATGGTGCTTTGTTTTTGTGGTAAAATGGTTGTTGTACGCACTTCTAGGCTAACAAAACCTTGGTCGTTGCTTTTGGGGATGCCTTACTTGAGGCAAGCAAATCAATTTTGGATTTTCAAGCTTATTCTTCCATGATTAGGGTGCTTTGTTTCTTTAATTTTGAAGGGATCCAAGTGTTGATTTATTGGGTGTTTTGATGGTCGTATGTATAAACGTTCAAAAGCTATCATACCTGGATTACTAAGGACAATCAAAAAATTGAAGGCACAAAGCACAACGCTCAAGTGTTACTTGATATGTAGTTGGATTTTCTTTGTGTTTGTATTGGTATTGAGATGCACAATTGACAATATTATCCATAATTTTTGTTGTAGATGGGGTTAATGGCCCTACACACTTATTTTGCACCTTGATGAAATTACAGATTCTTTTCATCATATATCCCCTTCAATCATTTTGTGTTGAAAGCTTCACAAAGATTATTCAAAAGCATATCTACTATTGCTCTCCCTGAAAGAACAAAAATGTTGTCAAAATCAGAGAAAATAATAAGCAAGACAGTGTAACAACAAATTAATTGACAGTGTAATAACAAATTAATACATCATATGGGCAAATTTGGGAATTTGGTTAATTACCTATGAAGTGGCTTCTTGCCTAATGTCGTGGAGGAATCTTCTTTAACCAATCATATGCTTGTTTTTCAAAGAAGTTGAATTTCCTCATCAAATGTTGAACTCTAGGACTGTTGTTAGTGTGACACACTTCCATAAGTGCTCTCTTTATTCCCTAGATCTGCAAGTTCTCTTTATATTATATTATCATGTATATACCTAAGACAAAACATGTGCTCAGCACATGGGAACAACTGAGAAATGGAAGACGTAATCCATGTGAAGGAAATAAAACATGGTTAGTATATTACATCCAAATATAGCAAATTTAAACGACCAATTACATACCTTTTGTTTGTCACTTATAAAAGTGAAGTTTGAGTTTGCATATAGGTCTAGGTCATCTCCTAAACACTCAAGAAACCATTTCCAACTTTGAGTGTTCTCGGTCTCAACAATGGCATAAGCTAGGAAGTATATTCCATTGTTGGTGTCTAACCTAACTATAGTTAAAAGTGACTTTACATATCTCTCCTTGAGAGCACCTTGTTTCCTTCCCTAATTCTTTTAATAAAGTTCTCCTTTTATTTTCCATATCAAAACCATAAGCTAGGGAGTATATTCCATTGTTGGTGTCTAACCTAAGTATAGTTAAAAGTGACTTTACATATCTCTCCTTGAGAGCACCTTGTTTCCTTCCCCAATTCTTTTAATAATGTTCTCCTTTTATTTTCCGTATCAAAACCTCATCCATTGAATCAACACTATCAATTACATCCAAATCATTAGGGTCTTCAGGGTATTTGTAACAATTGGTAAAATAGGTCAAAGTTTGTCGGTTAAACTACTGCAAATACAATTGTAGAAAGGACCTATTGTGTAGTATTACTTGTCGTGGAGTGTACATGAAGTCATTATACATGAAATTGCATATTGAATACCCTAAAATTTCCTAAAGCTAATAGTTTTTGACAACCAGAAAACAATTTAGAAAATAAGAAATTTGATTGTATTATGTTCTCTTGATTTTGTGGATATAAAAAACGCCCAAAATGGAGATCGTATCAGCAAGTTACACTTATTTTAAGTTATAAATTGTGTTTGATCGTGCACTTCTTCATTTAGAATAGCTACGAACCTCATAAATTGTGTTTGATCATGTTTTTGAACTCATATTATGGTCTATTATCTTATTTCATTTTTATGATATTTTTAATCTCAAGCAAAATCAAATTCGTGAAATCTATCAAATCTTAAACAATTAATCGCGAAACTTTAAACGCTAATTCTCGAAGTCCTGTATATCAGAATTGATTATACCCTGCGTTTCTAGAATCACCACGACTAAGACAACAATCAGACACTTTCATAAAAATTTCATGAGATGGTATGATGGCACAAAAATTGAGAAATGAGACCTACATCACAAAAATAAATTATACATATTTAAAACTCAATATATCTATAAAAAGTCAAAGGAAGACTTTTTTGTAAATTCAGCCAAGATTCAAATTGAAGCTACCATTTTCTCTCTAACTTCTCTACCTCACACTCGATTATTTCCACACACACACATACTCACACTTCAATCACACATACACTAGATTTAGCAAATATATATATGGTACTCTACAGGATCATTCCAGAATTTGTTGTACACAAATTCATCATCAAAGTCGCCTACAAATATGCATTAGATCATACAAACTTCTCTAAATCATCTCTAACCATCACCTCTCTCCCGTTTTTCTCTTTTTTATACATTTTCAAACAAAGAAAAGGAATTGTCGGCGACCTCCCCACCGGTTGCTGTCCCAACCCCCCTCCTCTCTCGTTTTTCTTCCTTCTCACCAATTTCCCAACAAGCCAAACACCCCACCTACTACTGATTTCGTTCACCCTTTTCTCCTGTCGTGTTTTTTTGTTGGATCAGAGATGAGAACAGCCAAGGAGGCACCCGGTCCAACCTCCCTAGCCACCGCAGACGACATCTACATCCACCAGCTGTCACCTCCGCCTCATGGTTTCCTTCGCTAATCGCCATTGGAGACCCACCCTCTTCTTCTTCCTTATTTTCCTACCGATTGGAGCTAACTTGTTCCTTTTGTTTTGTTTTTTCCGACGACGAAGAATAAACCCACACGAGGGGCTAGCCAGAGATGTGCGGCTACCCCTCCTTGTTGTCTTCATTCTTCTTCTACTTCCGTTCGTTTCTCTCATCATCGATCAGACGAGGAGAAAGAAACCTCCCGCCTTTTGTTTGTGTTGTTGGACCCAAACCAGTCCCTCCATTTATTTAAAAGATAAAAAACCACCCCTTACTTGTAATTGCTTGAACTAATCAGCCCTTCCTCCTTGTTTTTAGACCAAAACAGTCCCTTGTGTTAGCTAAATTATAAAACAGCCCTTCCAATCATTATACAATATTTAAATCAGCCCTTTTGATTTCACTTTAGTCTGCTATTTAGATCCAAGTTGTTGGAGGAGGGAGATTGCGATGAAGAAGAGGAATAACGGCAGTAAAGGTTGCGATTGGCGGAAAAGGATAGTGGTGGTAGATTTTAGCTTGACCTGAGAGTTGTTTCTGATTGCTAATAAAATCCATTTACTCTTCAATTTAGATCCTAGATGTTGGAGGGTAGAGACATTGGTGAAGAACAGGGACAGTGGAGGTTGCAATTGGCGAAGAAGGCAGACAGTCGTGGGTCTTAGCCGGTGGTAGAGGCGGCAAAGCGGAAATGGAGGGTTGGGGATTTTCTGGAATGACGAAGAAGAAAGAAAGTGAACGAACATATGAGATTCAGGAAAAGGAAAACGGGTTAAGGAAATTAGGTAGTAATTTCACTTTATTTACAGTAATGCCACCGTTTATTTTAAATTGGTTATAAGTGGGTAGTTGTCAAATTTGATCTTTTATATATATATATATATACTAGGAAACATAAACGGGCCGTGATAATCACAGCCCTAAAGAATTAGTGGTAAGCCGTTTTAAGTGGCTCCAAAGAAAACACCAATTTCGAAGCTAAGTTTGATTATTATGAATCCCACAGCAGCCATTAAGTTAATCAAGTACTTATTTCCATATTTACCCTCAAGAAAACAAAATACAGAGTTAACCGCAGATACAATAACACCTATAGTAAATCCTCTAATCCTAAGTTTTAATGTTGAAAGAAAAAAAATGAAGCCAGAATGTGAAAGACAGGAGTTAATATCAATATTTATGCCCTTTTTTATATTTTTCCTCATCCCACAGGTTTGGTCCTAAAGAAGGGGAGTCATTCTCCCAATGAGTGTATCCTGCGTTGTGCTATTGATCCATGTCTGATGGAGATGAATCTAAGTCAACCCTTGTGCAGGTTTTACCCCCCTAAAAAAACACATCTAATCAAGAATCACTGAAGGGTGAGTAAGTCATTAATGATAGTTTTAAAAATAAAAGCCCTTACCTTTGAGCTAACTAAAACAGTCGTCAAACAACCCTAGTGCTACTCAACAGTTTGTTCCTATCTGTGACGGGAAAACTTGATCAACCCAAACTCGGTTTTGTTTTCCCCTTTTGTCCCCAAAAATGTCTTTTCGTTTATCAACGCTAGCATGAAGAGATTGCTCAAACACCAGATCAATGAATAAACACACACCAGAAGCATTGACAAATGAATTTTCATTTGTTTGACTAATGTAGCATCTTACTTTCATTTCTATTTCTTTAAACTGTTGCATGCAAAAAGTACAATGATATAATCTTAATTACTTTAATTTATATTTCTATTAAGTTTATTTTACTACTTTTTTCCTATTAAAGCACTGTACTGTCAAATGCTAAAAGCACAATGCTATAATTGGGTGGTTTTTTTTCAAAGTAGAGCCAATTATAGCATTGTACTTTCAAAATACATTACTTTAATGAGAAAAAAATATAATTTGGAAAGGTTAAGAAAGTATGTTGCTATTTCTTACATTTAGCCACTGGTTGGGCCAAATGCAAGCAATATGAATATACTTTATGTTTGTGTATGTGTACATGCGTGCATAGATATACTAATCGTTAACTAAATGCCAAGTCTAGAGAATCAAAAACATGGGGAAAACGATAACTTCAAATGTTGGGAATGACATCACATACGGTAGAAGAAAAGAAAAAAAGGCATCAACTCTTTGCATTGCAAGAACCTATTTCTAACTTTAGGCATATGTTTTTCTCTTTTTAAGTTTAAATGCAACAAATACCAACATAATTCCATTTATTTGGTATTATAACACCAACATTGTAATCAACCCAACTACGATAATATTGGCAAAATTCAAAGAAATTCACTGGTATAATCGAGTAAACTTTTCAATGTATAATGTCCCAATAAGAAAAATAATAGAAGTACAATGCTATAATCAGGTAGATTTTTCAAAGTATTGTGTTAACAAAAAAATATTAAAGGTACAATTTTGTAAAAGAAACAAATTGAAGTGAGATTTTATAGTCCACATATCAACGAAATTATGTTGCTACTTTTTAAACTCAATCCTTTATAATGTTAAATGCAAGAAATAGCAACGTACTTTCAGTTATTTGTTCATTATTGAATCCTAGTTTTCATTTCTTTGTATCATAACATTTCAAGAACGATTAAATGCATTCGAAAACATAAGTAGATAGAACTTGCCTTTGCTGAAAAGATTACCTTGATGACTTGAGTGCCTCATTTCCTAATCGATCAATTAGACATTTAGATCTTCAATTTCTCACTTATGAAGGATGAAAGCTAACTATGGAGGAATCCCTAAATTATTTTCACCCTTTAATATATTAAACCCATTGTACCAGACTACAATCTAATGGCACAAAATTCCAAGTCCGGCTCATTTGTGAAATCGGGTAATATTTTCACAGGTGATTGCATCATTAGATTACATACCGGAAAACATAGATTTTTCATCATGCAAATATTGGACCTGATCTAGGTAAGTTGGAATTATAAAAACAACCTGCCGTTTACTTTAGTTAGTAAGGAAATTTGTAATAAATGATAAGTATTAAATAAAAAAATAGAAAAAAATAGAAAAAAAAAAACTCGGGAAGGCTGCATTCTGGTTCACATTATGTAAAATATTAAACTTTGAAAAAAAACAATAGTTTTAATAATAGTTTTTAATGTCCAATAAAGAAATTATGAATAACTAAAGTATCTTCTATATGCTAACAGTTAGGTTCTTACGATTAGGATAATCCATATTGTATTCTTTCGTTTTTATTTGATTGTTTTGTTTTTTTTAGTATGTTTTATAGAATGATATAATATTAAAAATATTATTAGCATAAAAAAAATTCTCAATCTATGCAACTGACAGCAACTACGTAACCATCTTTCATCCGGTTAAACATGTTTTCTAATAGTTTGCATATTTTAAAGCATGAGAAATGTAATTCACATTACATCTTCCAGAATTGCACTCCATTAAGAAAATCAAGAAAAATGAAATCTTTTTGACAAAAATTTTCACTACCAAACCATTAAGTTAATCAAACACGTGAACTGATAAGATCTATCATATTGGAAACATATATTATTCCATTTTCAATTACTACATACCAAACATTACCTAATAAAGGGTGCATTTTGGTACCTGGGAGTATGGGAGTAGGGACACCATTGACCAAATGTTCGATTACAACATACCAAACATCTTCAATTACTTGAATCCTACATTGTTGTACATTATCATATTCCTGCAACAAACAAATAAATAAACTTATATCTTCCCTTTCTTTCTTTTTCTTTCTTTCATAAAAATATTACAAATCTCACCCATTTCCAAAGCTCATTTGCAGTGGATGAAAGTTAATGGGAGTATAGACACCAGTGGCCAAAATGACAGCTTTACAACTCCTTATCTGTACTTATTCTCATTATCGGTTCAACCATTTGCATCCACCCGAAACTTGTACTTTGCACACATGTGTTCCATTCTTTATCACCCGGACACCTGCAATTAACCACTTTTTAGAATTTGGTTATCTGTAAAAGAAAGTAAAAAGGTAAAATCATACCTCATAAAGTAACCATGTTCTCCTTCTTACAATTTGAAGCATTACATCCACATCTGCAATTCAAATCATCACATTAGAAACAACTTCATTATAGCATTTCATCAAACACTTCATGTCCATGCTAAAAACAGTAGTAAAATGGAATATTATGTACAGACCTGCTATTTAAACCTATGTAAGTAGTCAAACATGTAAGGTAATTATGATATGATGAAAAAAATACCAATCAATGATGTCTTGGTTAAAAATGCCCCATACATCATGATAAAAACACTTTAAAATCAAAATTTTCTGTAGTTGCGATCAGTTTTTCATATACAACATTCTTGAAAAAAAAATTATAAGGGTAAAAAGAGACAAAAAATTTCGATGGACCAATGAAAAAACAAAAGACGTGAGCTTTCTTTATAGGTGAGAATCAATACAGGTGAGAAAAGCATGCCAACAAGGGATTTCTATATACATCGGTACTCAATCGTTTTCTTTTCAATCTTATTTCAAGCCATCTGTTGGATTACATAGGAATTATGATTTTCATATTTTTTTCATTAATGAATATATATATATATATATATATATATATATATATATATATATATATATGTTCAATAACTTGATATGTGTTATTGATTTTTTCTAAGATGACTTCATCTAGTTTCATTTGTAAAGTATGTAATCCAGAGGATGAATATGATCGAATTTAAGAAAAAGAATCAACCTATGTCTTCCGATAATAAGGAGACCCATAAAAGTGCTTCCGTCTGGGGAGAGGATGGATCAGCTGCCTCTAATTTAAAGCAACATAGCTGTAAAACAGATGAAAATGAATATACTTAAAACTACTGATAACATTTTTCAAATCTCAGCCTGTTCAAGAATCTGTTTAAACCAAAATAAGACATTCGTTTTGTGGAAAATTGTTAGTGAAGTGGAGACATATGCCCTATTTTTGGAAAACACTTTCGTTTAGGGTTCGTTTTTATTGGGAATGAGGGGCGAGAAGGGATATCAATGGTGGTAGAAACGTGGTAGGAAGGAATAAAATTAGGGTACAAGGCCTTTAGCTGGTTCGATCACTAAATCTTCTATTTTAATTGGCAAGATAGGTCGAATCGATGTTGAAACAAGGCATAGAAGTCGTCAAAAGAGAAAGGCAGAACGATGATTCATCTTCTAATGAAGTCGTAATTACTTGTATGCATGTATTTTAAGTGTACAACTCACTGAAGCATGATCCTCTTCGTAAGCTTCAAACTTGTTAAATAATTATAGTTCACACAAGGAGGGGTGTAGAAGATACAAAAGCAATAAACCAATTTTATCGTATACAATCTTTGCGACCAGAAATAAATTACGATTTGGAAAGAGAAGCAACTGCGACGTCAGCTGTCCTGGACGCCCGTCTCCAGTCGTACAGAGATGAAGTAGGGCAAATGAGGTAGAAGAACGATTGTTATTCCATTAACATCTACAAATTCATTGAGTAGAAAATGCAATCAAGAAACATTATCAATAAATTCAATGTACGATTTTGTAAATCCGAAAAGATCAAGATTAAACACCTAAAAAATATAAAATTGAGTTCCAAAATAGATATAATTACAATTGACAGAAGAGAAGTGAGGGGCATCGAAAACCACTAGTAATCGAACTGAAAAACAACAATACCTAAGTCTATAGTTGTCTCACCCAGGAGTAAGATGTGTACCTTGAAGAGGAAGTTGAAGGGGGTGACTCAGCCACAATTAAAGAGCGGTGGCAGCAAAAGGGGGATGGAAGAGCGGTGACAAGTAGCTTTGGGGGAATCGCCTAAGGAAAACCCACCGTGAAGTCTCTTGTCTCAACGTGAGGTCAGGCTGACCGGAAGCAAGCAGGCAGCTAGGTGACACAGGCAGGCACCTCGGTGAGGCAGACAACCAAGCTTCATCAGCATATACGTTAAAAGAGGCCACCAGACACCATTCAGATTGGGGGAGGAAACAGTTTATCTACGTGGACACAAACACAAGTCTTTAACATATATATATATATATATATATATATATATATATATATATATATATATATATATATATATATATATATATATATATATATATATATATATACACCGGAAATTCCCTCTGCCCCTACCGTACTCCAGCTTGGTAGTTTCCACCGCCTGTCCAGAGTTGAGCCCTGGGATTTGACGGCGGACTTAAAAAGCCACCTACAGACGCTTTACGCCCAATCATTCCGGATAACGCTTGCATCCTCTGTATTACCGCGGCTACTGGCACAGAGTTAGCCGATGCTTATTCCCCAGATACCGTCATTGCTTCTTCTCCGGGAAAAGAAGTTCATGACCCATGGGCCTTCTACCTCCACACGACATTGTTCCGTCAGGCTTTCGCCCATTGCGGAAAATTCCCCACTGCTGCCTCCCGTAGGAGTCTAGTTTCTCTATGTTTGGGCGTAAATTCCTTTTGTGTTTTCATTATTATTTTTAAGCATTTTGCTTGACATGGCTTTGGTCCATGACCTTTATGCTTTAACAACTTAAGGCCTCATAGGTTTCTATGCATGGATTTGGTCCCTGAATTTTGTGATTTGAAAACTTAAAGTCCTTTTAAGTTTCTATTGCCATAGAAAGAGTTCTTCTTAAATCCATTACTATCGTCACAACACACAACATGTTAAATCCTAGTTATATATTAAAAATTTATTGTGAACTTTTTTTTTAAATTATTTTTTCCTACTAGTTCATCAAGCTTGTGAAACTTTTTTTAAAAGAAAAAAATTGTAAAAATGGTTCATGTGATATGCATGTTTTTAGTAAACTAGTCAAAACCCTGAAAAAAAAATTGGATGGAATATCTTTTTAATTTGCTTGCATTTTATTTTCATCACGAAATTGAAAAAAATATTATTAGCTTAGTATATTTATTTTTCACCTTTTTTCTTAAAGATTTTATTGTTATTAAATATACAAAGGGCCCACATACTCACCCCACCTCCCCCATCCCTCCTCTCTCTCATATACAAACTCAATAAAATACACATATACAAACTCAAGAAGATATCACTCTGCTGGCTACCACCATCACCACTTCCTCCTAACATCCTCCGCCTCCTTCACCATCGATTGCCACCATCGTCCACCACTATCATCACATACTTCCAACAATGTAACACCCATAAATTTTGACATGAAAATACACCCAATTTTTTTCCATTTATATAATATTTAACATGAGTTATAAACATACATATTAAACATATTATGTTTTCAAAAGCTAATAACCATTTAAAAGAAAAACCTGACCCTAGGTTGTTACAAATACTAAACTATATGTTTAATAATAGAACAAATTATTGAAATCGTCCCTATGGTTTGGTTAAATTGCATGTTTGCTCCTTCAATTTTTTCTTTACACTTGGACCGTCCCTACCTTTTAGTTTTGTTACGGTCTTAGTTATCACTCGATAGAAAATGAGTATAAAACCCTTTATATTTATTTTTCAATTAAGTTATTGTTTTCTTAACTATTTATATTATTATTAAATTGTTAATGGGTCTCATATCCACCTTTTATCTCTCTCTCTCAAATTGTTAGAATGACAACTTCTGACCATTCAGCGTCGGTTGTCTTCGCCGATGACCGTCCACAGGATCCGGTTGTCTTCTCTGGCTAGCCAACCCTAGTGTATAAGTTTTTAAAAAACCCTAAAATTTGTGAAATCAATTTTACAATAACCTCAAAATTGTGAAATCAGTTTTACAAAAATACTGCATAACATGCATCTATGTTAATATGCTCCTCTCTATCACTCTTATCTTTGTCACTTAGTTCATTCTACATTTCCCCCATAATGGGGTAAGTGGAGGTCGATGGCGGTGGAAATCCATTCACATGGTGCAGTTCCTATGGTTCCGATGGGAAGAGCATATCCAACGATTTCAGATCAAGGAATAAAAGGGTAAGAAGAGGACAACAAGGTCTAGTTATGCTTGACAATCGTACGATTATGGTGGGTGACGATCGTTCGGTTGTGAGGGCTGGTGAGTGGTTGTTGTTAGTGATTTAGGGTTGTATTTGGTAGAGAATAGAAACCTTTCACAAAACCAACAATGGCGGCATAAAAGGTTTTGGGTAAGAGAGTGAAGTAATAGAAGTGACGGGAAGAAAGAGCCAAGAAATACGGAGTAGATGGCGGTCCATGGGTTTTCAGTGGGTTTTTTTGCCGACAATTTGGTGGTTTTTAGTGTGTTTCGTTGTCGACGATTTGGTGATTCCAACATGATCTAGTGGTTATGGTGGCTGTGATTTGATAGATCTGGGGTTGGGGGCTGAGTTCCTTTCTTCATCTAAGATGAGCCGGTGAGAGATATCAGAAAGGGTAGATATTGAAATGGTTAGGGTATGGATATATAGTTGGGGGTACCTATATGTAAGATAAAGATGTTGCGTCATGGGCTTATTTTGTATTAACCGGATTGGGCATGTCCATCCGTGTTTTATTAAGGTTATGTAGTATATATAGTGCATGCATGTATGCATTAGATACGTTGTTGATTCTATTGCTTAGATTATCTTTTGTAACCCTAAAACACCTCTACAGTCGAAGTTCTTCATCGAGCTCTTCTGGGGTGTTTGAGTTTAATCATTAAGCATCGTTTGAGCCATTCTTGTGTCTGTTCTTATTATTTTATTTACTGTTTAGATCATTTCGATCCTACTAAAGTTTTTATTCCATCAATTGGTATCAGAGCAGGAGACTGTGTAACAAATACGCATTCCTTCTGTTTGAAGAACACTATAGGGTTTCCGCTTTTTTCAAACATATAGGAGTCGTCGTTTTCTTATCAACGAAAACTGGTGTTTTTGATAAAATCCTATTCTCAAGTTTACAGGTCAGACTCTAACAGTTTCAAGGAAGGCTCAACATGTCTCAAGATGACGTTCAATCTAATCCAATTAACATCTCCAACAGCATTGGATCTACTACAAGAGTACCCATTCTTTACACGCATGATTATGAAGTATGGGCGAATCACTTTGAAGATTATGTGATTGGATCTAAAGATAACGGGCATTTGATCTGGGAAGCAATCACGTAGGGTCCATTTGTTCACTCTAGAACGAATACAACTGTGAAAACTCAAAAGGAGTACAAAAAACTGATAGCAGACGAGGATAAAATTCCTCAGGACGAGAAGGATAAACTGTTGTGCAATGTCAAGGCGTTGAGAATGATAAAATTCGCTTTACAAGCTAACACCTTTCAGTTGGTGAGTTCATGCACTACAGCTAAGGAGATATGGGACAGGTTGAAAGAATTGTATTCAACCGATGAGGATTTAGAGCATTCTATACAAACTTTGCTTCTATCTGAGTTCGGTGCGTTTGCACAAAAACCTGAAGAAACTTTGCTTCAGATGTTTGATCGCTACAATCATCTGCTTAGCAAGATGACAAAGCATGGTATCAAAAGGAAGGGTATTGAACAGAAGGTTACCTTCCTGAACGACTTAAGACCCGAGTGGATGACGGTTTTTTCTACTGTGAAAGCGCATGAACAGTTCAAGGCTTATTCCCTAGTGAAACTTATGGGAATTCTAAAGTCTCATGAAAGCACAGTGTCAAAAGAAGCGAAGTTGGTCTCTGGTGTCAGCTCACTAGCTCTTGTCTCGAAGAGCAAAAATGTGATTGAAGAAGAAGAGGATGATGACATGTCAGAGTATGATCTTACCAGTGATGCGTATGCAATGATGGTGTCGAATCCAAAGAAGTTTGCTCGAAAGAAATTCCCTGTCAGTAAGAACCGAAACTGGCAAGGAAGCTACAGTTCAGAAAAGATAAAGGAAGAGTCAAAGAATACATCTCAGAAGGAGTATGAAAAGAAGGAGAGAAAACTGGTGGGTGACTCAGGGTATCATTGCAATTACTGTCACGACAAAAATCACCTTGCCAAGGATTGCATGTTGAAAAAGTTAGCCAAGAGAAGAGAAAGTGAAGATGATGAAGCTTATCATATGAGAAAGCTTGAAGAGATAAAGAAGAAGAAAACTAGTGCTGGCCCGATGAACGCCTTGATTGTTCAAGAAAAGGTGATCGATGATGAATGAGTTGAAGTGTGGTCCACAGATTCAGAGGATGAAGAGGTGAGAAGGCCAACTCACGATAGAACTTTTGTGGCAAGACAAGAGGACGAGAAGGTGACTGGAAGATGCCTGATGGTGACGACTGAAATGTCAGTGAGCAAGAAGAACCGAACCTGCATGAAGATAAATGCTTTGCCGCCAAACCTGTAAGTGAGAAAATCAACGACTGTGATCGTTTGATCAAAAAGGTACAATCCCTTCTCGAATCTTTTAAAATTCCGATAAATGATTATGAAAAGGAATTAAAAGAACTAAAATTCAAATTTAATAATCTAAGCAGAAGTCTAACGCAAACTCGGTTAACAAGTTCTAACCTAACTGACCAAATCAACAGGGTGACAACGAAGAGTGAGGAGAGACGAATATGGATAGAGCTAAAGGAGCAGGAGTTAGTTAGGGCTAGGGATGAAATAATTTATTTGCAACGAGACAATTTAAGATTTTTGAAACAACGTAATGTTTTTTGCTTGATTGCCAAACGTTTATATACAAATATCACGCAACTGCATTTAGATTGTGAAATAGGGAAAAAGATTCATAAAATGATCTTGCCCTTCCTTGAGTTTAAGGAGGATGAGGTCATTGCTGAATGTGAATCGATCATGTCCTCTAAAGAAACTTCCATTGCATATAAAATAGGTTTGGACAAAATTGAAACTTTCATTGATTCTAAGGAACATAAATGCATGTTAAAACAACTCTTAGATGAAAAATATAAGTTAAAAATTAAGACCGAGACCTTAAAATCATTTGACTCATCAAATGCCAAATTGATGACCGAACAAAAGATGAATATTGAGAGCACATATGAGTTTGATGATGAAAGTGAGATGAGTGAGATCTCCATGGAAGACGTAATCGATTGCTTAGAGTTTCTAAGAAGTGAAACCGAGACTGAAAAACCGCTAATATCTGAAAACTCAGTCGAATATGCTCGCTTGTCAGATAACAAATCAAAGAAACTCAAAGAAAAGGCGGTGGTCTACCAAAAGTTTCAAACGGTTCCGAACTAGGTCTATGTTGTTAAAGGAGTATCTGAAAGACAAACAGTAGAACTAAAAATTTTGGTGGATCAAGACAACGCTGGAGGATGTGAAGATTTCTTCTGGTCACCTATCGATAATGCAGACGAAACCGTCAGCTTATCTGAGCAAACCTCATGGAGGGTGAAAGGTAGATACGTTCCAGAACCGATTAACCAACCATCAAGCTTTGCTAAACCAAGCACGAGTGGAACGAAAGAGATACCAGAAGAACCCAAGAAGGAGTTTCATCGAGCCGAATCTCAAAAGCAAAATCCAAATCCAAGTTTTAATATCCATAAATCTCAAAAACAACTGGCTGATCAAAAGCGCCAAAGAAATCAGAGGTATATGAAAAACCTGAGTGAGAGAAAATGGTTTTGGAACTCTCAAAATCCTGACTTTGTTCAAACCAAGAAGGATGCTCAAGCTGGAAATCAATCAAACAAGGCCAACAGTCAGTTAAACTGAAAACCAAGTTTCGGTCCAAATTCCTTTTACTCCAAGAACCGATCCTCCAGTTTTGGTCCCCACAAATCCAAAGTTCATAGCCGACAACCCAATTTTGATCCTAACTTTAGATCCCAGAGCCGATCTTCCAGTCTCGGTTCAAAACTCAAGGATCAGAGCCGAACCTCCAGCCTCGGTTCAAAACCCACGAATGAAAGCAGAAAATCCTATTTTAATAATCATTCTAGTCAATCATTGAAAGATGTTAAAGGAAAAGGAAAGCTTGACTGTGAAACAAACAACACTAATATGAAAAAGTCAGCTGAACCTATGGATCAAAAGAAAATTCCTACTAACCAAACACCAACTAATACACCTCAATTTAAACAAGATTAAAATAAAATAAAGGTGTACACCATCAAACGCAAGAATGAAACCACTCTCGTTAAAAGAACTTATTTGGTTGACCTTGCTGTAGTTATTCCCTTTTTTGTGAAAAAGATAACAGGGCCCAAGAAACTTTGGGTTCCTAAATCTACTTGATTTTGCAGGTATTGAGTGACGAGTAGTTCGACGACGAATGGTATATTGACAATGGCTGCTCACGTCACATGACAGGAAGGAAGGAAGAGCTGAGGGAGTTTCGGTCCCTAAAAGATGGTGGATGTGTGAAGTATGGAAACAACTCGTTTGGAACGTGATAAGTTATAAAATAAACTTGAAGATCGATTAGATCTTTGTAACAAGTATTACGATGAACACAAAACAATAAATAAGACAAGAGTGGATCAAAATATATCGAATGATTAGATCAAACAATCCTCAGCAGAGCTCGACTAAGAACTTCCGCTGTAGAGGATTTAAGGTTATAAGAACGATAATAATAAACTTCTGAATAATGCTTTGATCATTCTATTCTATCGTTTTCCTAAGATGCATGCAAGCACCTATATTTATATTAAACCCTACTAAACTCACGGATGGACAGGCCCATACCGGAGATACAAAAATAGACTAGATAACGAGCCCAATAGACGCAACATATTACAAAACATGACCCAACAATCTCCCCCTTTGCGTCAAATTGGAGCGAGACTACTTCTTCTTCTTGCTTGGGCCAGCAGCGGGAACTTTCTTCGTAGTATCAAAAGACGAGAGATTAGCGCGAGAATAGTCTGTCTGAACCGAATGTACCATTGAATCATGTCATCGAAGTACTTGACATCATCCGCTGTGTTCTGCTTGCATCTGTGGATGATCCCCAAAACATGCTCTAAGCAGGCAGTGGTGTAGAGGTGTTTGTCAGCCAAGGCAAAAAGGCATTTCTGTCCTTCGTTCCTGGTAAACATGACCGAATTCCTCCTCGAGTCAATTTTACCCATCTGCATTTGGTTGAGATCACTGGCAGAGCCAACAGGAGATATTGTTTGTTTATTCTTAAATACGCTCGCTATCTCCTGATCCATCAGTGCAACTTCCATGATGTAGCACACGAGCATCCTCTTGAAATGGTCGATGATCGGACCGTATTCAGCTTCGTTGGTGAGTAGGTTGTTCTGCAAGATAATCCAATCATGGGGATTAAGGTTGGGAAGATCTGCAAGGGAAATGGCATGTTCGGTTTTGGCAGATCCCCGAAGTACCTTGAACCGAATGTTGATGAAGTTCCCTTCATTATACGGCTTCAAGACCCGAACGTTGACAATTTTCTGAGCGCTCCAATTCTGATACTGGGGTTGAGCAGCCTTCAGATAGAAATTGATCAAATCCCGATCAACCTGTGGATGAGGATGAGGGATTTCTGCAACGTTGGAGAAGGCATGAAAGATGAATGCCTTTCGGGTCAGTGACATGTCGAACTGTGAGTCGACAGTGTTGGAACAATCTAGAGAGATTACAGGTTCCAACCACAAGATACTCGGTGTGTCAATGGCTTCTTTTATCATCCTCTCGAGAGTCCAGAAAGGAAAAAGAGTTTTCCTACTCTAAAGAAGGTTGTGGGCTTCCTTCTGTTTTCTTTCTGCTTCTTCAGCATCTCTAGCCACACGAGCATTGATATCAGCCTCATCGTTTCGACTTTTTCGCTTCAACAATTCAGCGATTGTCTCTCTATCCATCTTCATCCTCCTCAACAATGTTTTTGCCTTTATCTTTCACACCTGAACCGGAGGCTTGGCCTACTGGAGGAGGTTCGGTTGTGTGAGTTGCTTTTGAAGTAGGAGGTGGTTAAGACATTGATTCCTTCTCTCCCCCTTGTTTCGGAATGGACACGAAATCAAGTAGCCTTTCGATTTTGCTGAGTAGAGCAAGGGCAGGAGCGAGCTTCTCCGCAAGGGTACGCCTCACGGAGTAGTTTAGAATGGGATCATGTGCTTCGAGGATGTTGGAGATGGCAGAGTAGACATCCGAAACACACGACTTTATCACCTCCCTTTCGGACCGAAGAGAGTCAATCTCCTGTTGAGAGTTGGAGAGTTGAACATTCTTGACCTTCAGAGCGGTGGTCTTCTTGGCTAGAACATCCATAAGAGAGTTCTCGGCAGCCAAATCTTCCTGTAGCTTCGAGAGACGCTTGTCAATGGTTGTGCGAAAGGCTGAGTTGTCGTCTGAAAGCGTTTGACGAAATGAAGCGAAGGACTTCAACTCAGTTGAGACTGACGTTGCCAGCTGATGAACAATATGTTCCAACGTAGTCTTGGCAGCATTTGCACTCTCCTGTAAAGACTTTAACAGGGCAGAGGCATCAGAAAATAGTTTATCGACTTTTTCGGTCGCAGCCTGACAGGCTTTTGTTGAGGCATCGATGGCGGTGGTTGCAGAAGCAAGGGAATCTTGCTGAGCTTTGGAGAAAGTGTCAATAATATTCTGAACTGCATCTTCAGAAAGGGATGACTGAGTAGTGGAAAAGGAGGCGATGAGCAAGTCAATCTTGTCATGGAGCTCCTTGAGATGTCTTTTTGTGTGATAGGAGCGTTGTCATCGCCATCACTCTGAACTTGAAACGGACTATAGTAGACCGAGTCAAAGGTCATATTCTCTCCGCCAAGGAGTGGTTCTTCTCCCTCTGAAGCATGACCAGGAGAAGGTGGTGGTGGTGAAGCTGGTGGTACAGTAGTATGGGTAGGTTCGAGTTGGGTTGTTTCGGGTGTTGGTGTAGGTTCGGGTTGGGTTGTTTCGGGTGTTGGTGTAGGTTCGGGTGCTGGAGTGGTTTCGGGTGCATCAGTATGAACCCCCGTATCAGATACGTTGGCTCTAACATCTGCAGTGGATGTTGTGGTTGCGTCAGTGAATATTGGTGGTGGTATTGGGATGGAAGTGGGTGGTATTGAAGTAGTGGAAGTTATGGGGGGAATAGAAATAGGAATGGTTTTAGGTGGAGAGTTAATTGGAGAAGTAGATATATGAACTTCTAGGGTAGGAGATCTGGGTGGAGTGTTGCCACGTGGAGAGTCGTCAGAATCTGAACTCTCACCCTCAGACTCGCTTGAGGAGGAAGCGATAATCAGCTTTCGCTTCGGCTGAGTTTTTCTTCTCTTAAGCTGTGGAGACTGAGCAGGCTTGGTGGGTTTCCTCTTCTTTTGAGATGGGCCTTTTACTCCTTTTGCCACCTGTTTCCCCTTATAAGCCTTTTTGCCTCTTGGAGCAGACTTGTCGGCGTCATGTATGGACTTCAACATCTCCGGAGTAAGATCCCTCGGACCAGAACGCTTGAATTCCTTGTATGCCCTGATAATCCAACTATCAGCAGTAACATCCCCATACATGGTTTCCGGAATGGAACCGTTGAACAGAAACTTTGAAGCGTCCGACACAATGATCTTCGTGGTATGGAAGGTACCAATCGAAGACATTGGAGCACCAGCGACAATGGGGGACGTGGTACTTGTCCATCACCCAATTCGTGATAAGAGTCCAGAACCTAGCATACGAAATCTCTGAATGCCTGGAAGTAGAGGAGAGACTCTGGATGAGTTGTTGCCATAGAACAGACCCATAATCCATGTGATGCCATTGTAGATACCAGACATTATTGAGAGAAATAAACGGCTGGCACCATCAGATCCAGCACTCCTTTCAGATAACCCCTTGAAGAGGACAATGAACATCCCATTCCACTGTGGAGGTAGGCACGACTTCTTGAACTTCGTGACTGTAGTAAGCACCTCCGTATAACCCATGTTATAGAACATGTTGAACAAGTGACCCATTGGAATCGTTTCAAGGTTAACCCTCGTAGAATCAGGTTCAAACCCTAACAGCGAGCAAAATCTTTGCTTTGAAATTGACGCCTTGTGCTCAAAGACATCAAAAAAGATTCTGTCAACGACCTTGTCGTAGTGAGCAGTCGCAAAGATCTATGACAAGAACTCCAGCGGAACAGATTCAGCCTTGGTAAGCGCAGGAGCGATCGGAGAAAACTTGAGACACTCGATGATGGGGAACATGAAGGCGTCGTAAGCATGAGGGGTTAAATCGTTGATTAGGCTTTGTTGTGGGCGAATGGGCAAAATGTGGGATGTTGCGTGAACAGAAGATGAATCTGCCATTGCTTGAAGAAAGTGGAGAAGATGATGAACAGGGAAGGATTAAGGAATTTTTTCTCTCTGGGAATTTTAATTGCAGTAAAGAGGTAAACGAAGGATTATGTTGCCTTTTATACTGGGGGTTAAGGAGAGAGAAAGATCTTCCCAAATCTTCGATTGAAAATCGAAGGGTTTTTCAGAGTTGACTGATGCGTGACAGTTGGGGTTGCCGATGATCACGCATGAGAGAGAATGTCAGGCCCCTAATAACACGCCTTCCCATCAGGCGTCGTTTGGAGACGAGACGGTTCAGATTCACACGCGCCCCTCTTGCGTCGTTTGAAATCAAATCGATTAGACTCCCGCCTGAGTCAGCATGTCTTCATCTTATCCCTTTAAATTTTAACGACATCTTTTTGAAAAATGCTCCCACGTGGATTAAAATCAACTACAACCTTTAATCAACTGCCAATCCAAGTAAAATGCCTTGTAATTAATAGAACCTGAATTTAGGAAAATCATAGATTTTCGTGCTTAGGGTGTAAAAGAATAAAAATAAAGCAATATTTTGGGAAAATATGTGATGTCAATAAAGACACGAAACAAATGATCCCGGGCACGAATCTCTTCCTTCAAAGTCAAGAGAGACCTTAAAGTGTTTGTGTGGTTTCCCGTTGAATAACGATCAAACACTTATTAAGAAGTGTTGAAAGGCTTCTTTTAACTAGGCATATTAGGGTGGCTTTCGCTTCGATTCAAAATTCCTAATCTTGATATAAGATAGAAAGCGAACGAAGTACTTGTGAGACCGGTGTAGTCTATTGAACAAGTAGGTTGGAGATAATTTAAACTGGCTAGGAAATATATATATATATATATATATATATATATATATATATATATATATATAAAATCTCAACAAAAATTTAAAACTGGATCCCAAGGGAAGAAATGTTATTGGTTTTAACAATTTCATAGGAATCACACAAAAGAAAATTTTGAGATTTCATGGAGGTACGTCCATTAATTCATTAGTGAAAACTAGAGCAAATTAATTGTTCACCGTCAATTCGTATTGGGTATTGAATTTTGGGTTTCACTTAGCTCGTAGTGGCACGAAACTAAGATCATGAACACAGTAATTGTGTAACCATAAACCTCAGTGGTAATTTCTGAGAGTCTCAAGGGTTACGTTTGTGAAGTGATACCTCAGTGCTATGTGCTTAGTCTTGGAGTGTTGCACTGGGTTATGACAGATCCTGATTGCACTTTCAGAGTTACAATATAGTGGGATCTTTTTCATATTGAGTCCATAGTCCCGGAGTTGACTTTGGATCCAAATCACTTGAGAAGTACAGGAGGCAGCTGCAATGTATTCTGCTTCAGCTGTAGATAAAGACACACAAGTCTGTTTCTTTGATTGTCAGCTAACTAACTTCCCATCAAGAAATTGGCAGCCTCCCGTGGTGCTTTTCCTGTCTAGTCCACAACCTCCAAGGTCTGCATCTGAGTAGGATTGAACGAAGAAGCCTGAGTTGGATGGATACCATAGGCCTAAAGAGGTAGTTCGCTTGAGATAATAGAGTATGTTCTTCACTGCAAGCATATGAGGTTCACATGGATTCGCCTGAAATCTAGCATAATAACAAATAGAAAACATTATATCAGGCCTGCTAGCAGTAAGATACATCAAAGAACCGATCATCTGGCGATATAGCGTAATATCAACTGCTGGCTTATCCAAGGATGGAGTAAGCTTGGTGCCGAACGCCATTGGAACTTTAACCTTTGAATCTCCCATCATGCCAAATTTTGCAAGGAGAGTCTTCGTGTAAGCTTCCTGATTAATAAAGATGCCTTCGGGTCCCTATCTAATGTTTAAACCAAGGAAAAAGTTAATTGGACCCATTGAGCTCATTTCAAATTTAGTCTCCATCAGCTTTCTGAATTCAGCCGTTAAGCTAGGATTCGTTGAGCCAAAGATGATATCATCGACATAAATTTGAACAATCATAAGGTGGTTACCTTCCTTCTTACGAAAGAAGGTTGGGTCAACCGAACCTTGTTTGAATTTGGACATCTTTAAAAACTTGGTTAGCGTTTCATACCAGGCCCTCGGAGCTTGTTTCAGTCCATATACGACTTTGTCCAAAATGTAACAGTGATTGGGGTACCTTTCATTGATGAATCCAGGAGGTTGCTCCACGTACACCATTTCTTCAAGTTCTCCATTTAGAAATGCGCACTTGACATCCATTTGGTAGACCTCAAAGTTTTTGTGTGAAACATAGGCAAGAAAGATTCTAACGGATTCCAGCCTAGCTACAGGAGAAAAAGTTTCTTCATAGTCGATTCCTTCCTCCTGACAGTATCCTTTCACCACCAGACGGGCTTTGTTTCGTATCACGTTGCCTTCCTTGTCCATCTTATTTCTGAAGACCCATTTGAGACCAACAACTGAGGCATCTTGAGGAGTTGGAATGAGGCGCCAAACTTTATTCCTTTCGAATTCATTCAGTTTGTCTTGCATAGCTTGAACCCAATCGGAGTGATCAAGAGCAGTGTTAACTGTCTTTGGTTCAACTTTTGAGATGAAGGAGTTAAACATACAAAATTCTACTTTTGAAAATAAGGAAGTTTGTTTTGCCTTTAGTTGTGATCGAGTCAGGACCTTTTCAGAGACATTACCGACAACCTGGGAAATTGGATGATCTCTGGTCCATTTGACAAGAGGAGGGTAATTTGGATCATAAGATGGATCCAATTCAGCGTTTACCATCTCTTCTAGCTCAGATTGACTGTCATCGTCATAAAACATATCAACATGCTCCCCCTCGACAGATAAGCTTTCAGGTGTGTCTTGAGATTCTGGAGCTACAGGGGTTTTGGGTGGTGTCGATCTTTCGGGTGTTGACGCTCCTTCGGGTGTTGTAGCACTTTCAGGTGTTGTAGCACCTTCGGGTGTTGAAGCACCTTCGGGTGTTGAAGCACCTTCGGGTACTGTTGTGTGTTCGGGAGTAGCTTGAGAACTGTTCTCCCCCTCAACATGCGAACTCGTCTGTGATGAAGAAGATGGATCCTCCCCCTCAACTGAAGCATCGTGCTGTGGAGGTTCATTGAAAATTGATCCTCCTTCCTTCATTTGTTTGGCAGCATCATTGATGAGTTGCTTCAGATGATCTACTTTGTTGTCTGCTGCACTGGCTTCCGAGAGAGTAGCCTTTTCTGGTTCATCGAATAACTCGACAAACTTCTCAAATAAGTTTACGATCGAGGCTGTGACTTGGCCTGTTTGAGAAAAGATTTCTCCAATTGTGTCTTCGTTGGCCTTTAGGTTTTTGACATAGCTATCATCAAAAGTCACATAATAAGTTTCTTCAATTTTCCTCGAGCGCTTGTTTAATACCCTGTAGGCTTTTGAAGTGAGAGAATAGCCCAGAAATATCCCTTTATCGGCTTTGACATCGAACTTGTTACGATGTTCTTTAGAATTGAAGATGAAGCACTGTGAGCCGAATACATGGAAAAATTTGACATTTGGCTTCCTGTTGTTGATGATCTCATAAGGAGTGAGAGTGAATCGCTTATTGAGATAGGACCTGTTCTGTGTAAAACATGCTGCAGCAATAGCATCAGCCCAAAAATATAAAGGTAAAGAAGCAAAACTTAGCATGGTTCATGCCGCCTCACACAAAGATTGGTTTCGTCTTTCGACAATCCCGTTTTGTTGAGGGTGTAGGGAGCTGAGAAGTTGTGACTGGTTCCTTTTTTGGTCAAGAATTCTTCGAATTCTTTATTTTTGAACTCCAGACCATTGTCGCTCCTGATGTTGCGAACGACTTTCTTCAGCTGTACTTCAACCGGCTTGATAAACATCTTTAGCTTTAGAGTCACTTCAGATTTGTGCTTCAGAAAGAACACCCATGTAAAACGCAAAAAGTCATCAACAATGACAAGAATATACTTGCTACCGCCGATGCTTTCGAAAGATGATGGACCACACAAATCAACGTGAATTAACTCTAGTGGTTCAACAACTTTAGTGTTTACAATTGATGGGTGACTTTGACGAATCTGCTTCCCCATTTCACATGTAGCACATAAATGTTCTCGATTGAACTTGAGCAATGGAAGACCTCGAACATGACCTCCAGTGACAAGTTTGTTGATATCCTTAAAGTTGAGATGAGAAAGCCTTCGGTGCCACAGCCAGCTTTCGTCATATTGTGCTTTGGATAACA